TTATTTCTGTTGTGGAGTGAAATTAAAGACTTGTTTTTTCCTTTTAAAATTGAAAAAAGAAGAAACATAACGGAGACTCAAATGGGCAAGGGAGAAAAGTAGAAGGCCAAAGCTGCGTTGCTAAAATTACAAACAAGAGCACCCTTCTTATATTCCCCATTTCTTTGTGATTAGTTGAAAAGGGAAATTTTGAAAACCCAAATTGTAATCTAAATCTCGCAGTCTGCCTCGTCTTTCTCAGACAAATGCATGTTCTGCATCCCAGGAATATATGTCTTTGTTGATCGTCATTATTTATCATTTCATCATAAGAACACAGTATTAATATATTCTTCGCCAACAGTGGAAATTAAATGCGCCATATATCAGCATTTTATCCATAAAGACAAATGCATAGTAATCAATGATCAACAAATTTCCACCAAATTCAATTATTCAAATCGCTCATTGAAGAAAAAGCCCTAGACCTCGTAAATCACACTCCAATTTTTCTGAATAAGGGGGCTGTGATTGACGAGCTTATATCTTTTATACATGTGACCTCGTCCATGAAAGGGGGGAAATATTCTTAAAACTTTATAGTATCATTTTAAACTTTAATTACTACCTAGCTAGTAACGTATATAGTACATATCATTACTTGCAGACATCCAACATACAGGAGGATGCCCTCACTTTATGGTGGATTCTTTGACCCCTTTATAAAGTATTTGCCGTCTCTCTCGGTGCAAAGGTTCAAGCTAGTCCTCAAGAAATCAAACCACCGAATTCACCATTAGGCATGCGATTTGGGCCTGATTGGGCGAAACATTCATTCTTAGAGCTAGCCCATGTTTTATAGCTTAGATTTCTTACACTTGGACTATATATGCTACTTGAAGCCTGCATCAGACTGACTCGTAAATAAGTTGTAGCAGTCAATACTGAAGCTAAGTAACAATAAGCACAGAGAAAAGACTGATGGAATTGGAATCTAGTTGGTTTGTTTTTTTGGGACAGAAAATTAAAATCACTGTACATATACTCTCTTGTTATTAGCTGCATGAGTAGAAAGAGATCGACATTAGTAATTTAGATCAGAGTCACCTCCATGTATCATCGCAAGAGACAAGCTTCTGTATCCTGTGCCGTCTCAATACAGCATGTCGACGCAACCTCAAACTTCTTTGATTCCCACAATACAAGATAGCCTTGTAGCCATCACGTAATTTAATTCGCAGGAATGTAATAGAAAATATACAAGTTTAATTAATTTGTGTCTGTTAGCTCTTGTAGTTCTAAAATCTGTATAAAGGGTTTTTTAGATTATTATGAAGTAGTGTGCTGGAAGGTTTGATAAAATTATCTTGTCTCTTCGTGTCATCTCTTAAAGTTGCAGGTTTTGATCACTCTTTAAGAAAGCCAAGGGTCTCGCTTTGTGTTTCTTTTTTTCACTGTTGGAGAGTTCTTGTGTGGTTTTATTTTTCCTTTGTTTAATGTATATGATTTTCTCATTTTGTTATAAGAGTGATGTTATTTAATTTTAGAAAAATGGCCAGCTTTCTCATGAAAATATGACTAAGAGAATGATTTATATGGTATATGCTTTAATTTTCTGGTTTCCCAAATTAATGATCACAAAGCATGCTTATCGCATAAAAGAAGGAATTATATATAATCAAAGCCACTGGAAAGAAAAGAAATGAAAAGCAGTGGCACATTCAAGTTCTGGAATTGTCTGAAATCTGAATGATGCCCAGAAAAAGTGAATGAATATATAGGAAACATTAATCTTCTTTAGCTATGTTGCAGTCAGCAAAACCTTTAATCATGGCAAAGATTCTTCCTATAAACACTCAAACAACCTGTCTTTCAATATTATAATAATATCCTTCTCTTTCTTTTATTCAAAATATTACCCTCCCCTTATCTTAAATATAAGTTACTTAATAGACAAATTTTGGTCTTAAATGAATCACTTGCAGTATGTTTAATATTTATTTTTATTTAAATTTTATTTAATTATTATTTGGAAAGAGAAAAAAAAGAGAAAGATTGAAGGATGAATTCGTGAATATAGAGAGGATAGAAAATTAATAAGATAAAATTAAATTTTTTTATCAATTTAATGTATTTATTAATATGCAATGTTATAAGTAAGAATATGAGTGTTAACAATATTAACATTTACACATATGACCCCTTGTTTCCCGAAAACCTGAAATTTAATGTATGAATGATGCCAGCAAATAAATTAGTGTTCTTCATTACATCAGCTAAAACAACCTGAATGTATTCAGAATATTAATAATAATAAATAATTAAAAGACAAAGATCCGCATTTCTGCATTCAGAAATTATTTATTCACCGTCGCCATGCGCCGTTTACTGGACTTGGCAGCATAGTGCCCAGATTTGCAGAGAATTTGTCCTCCCATATTTGGATTTCTTTGAAAATTTTGTCCCATTATTGAAGCTTCAATTCAATTAATCTAATCTGATTACAAAATATAAACATAACAATATCAATTCAAGATAAACATAAACGTTAAATATTAAAAAAGCAAAAGATTAAGAAAGAAAATTAGATAGTTGCAAACAAATATTTTAATTTTAAATTATAATGATAACATTAATTTTATCCAATAAAATTAGAAGATAATCAAAACAAATTTAAGCATATTTATAGATGTCTGTGTTGATAAGTTGTTAAACAACAATTTACTGCAATATAAATACTCTAATTATTAAATAATTTTACATCACTATCAAACTCAATTTATATGCTTATTCATTTAGGCAACGGGCGTATTTTTTTCCCCCTCATGGCGTACTTACATCAAGAATGGCTCTACATAATTAAGATCTTTCCCCACTTCGTATCTGTGGATCGATCTGATCCTTAGAAGCTATAATCACCATTGAATCTGATACATTTGTCACTAGAAGCACCTTTTTTCCTCATGTTCATGAACATCACTTTCTCTCAATTATCTCTAACACTTTCTGTAGCAGTGTGTCTCTGTGCGTATGCAATTCCCAGTTCATCTACCGTATTGATTTCGGTGATGTCAATTTACCATTTTGACCAAATCTTTGTGTTTAGGTTGTGCCTCCGTCCGTCGCTTCCCGCAGCTCATCGGTACCGCTGGAAGCTCCGGCCCTGAACCGTCATTTCAAATTCAAGGTTGTCCCACCACTTTAGGACACCCAAGTCATTCTCTCAAAGTTGGAGGCTATTTTGGTGCTTTTGAAGGCGCTGTTGCTCTCACTGTACTAACTGCGATTTCCGTTCAAGAATGGCTTGCGGAGTTGGCAATCTCCTTCTCCGTCTGGCTAACCGATTCTCATAGCCCGTTCCTTACTCTCTGTTCTTCTCTTGGGCAGTTAAGTTGCTCCCACCCCTCCTCATCCGTTCTCTTTTTCTCTCTAAAGTTGGAAGAATTTTCCACCTTCCCCCCGTCATCTTCATTCATTTATTGCTAGCTCACATTCATTTACTCATTACATATTAGCAAAGTTCTGTGCTTCAGCTTCTGTGTGTGAGGGAGAGGGGGAGAATATGCCGCTAGTAAGGGTGCAGGTTCGGAATGAGTACGGCCTGGGGCGGCCCGAGCTGTACAAAAGGACCAGCAGGGAAGATCCAAAGGCTGTGCTGGATGGTGTCGTTGTGGCTGGCCTTGTGGGGATCCTGAGGCAACTGGGTGATCTTGCTGAGTATGTTTTCTTTAATCTTCTCTATGAAATTCTCTTTTTTGCTCAAACAGGTGCACTGTGTGTGAAATTTGAACCCTTTTGGTATTTCATTGGTAAATGGGGTCATAAATTTCTGCAATTTCGACACTTAATCTGAGTTGTAGGTTACCGCTTTACGAGAAAGGTAGTTTAGCTACTAGCAAATATGGCGGATGTTGTAGTCAGAGAGGAACTAAAATGTCACCTAGTCGTTGAAGTTGATATCTGTCTTGGCTTGGGTTAAATTTCAGTTGATACGATGAAAAATTGTCAGTTTTTTGAGCCGTTTCATTTGAGGGACCTAAGCGTGTTGGATGGCTTATCAGTTCAAATATCCAATTCATCAAATACTTTGGCTGCTTTTGGATTAGCACAGTCTGTTTCTCGTCTCTTAACAATTTCGGACGTTCAGCGGGGGCAATGGTCAGTAGGAAGAATAATGTGAAAAATTGCAATTCTACTGTGATTTCGGTAAGAGTGGCACTGTGCTGTCTATTTCAAATGAGAGGAATTAGATAGCACGAAGAAATTGCACAGAAACAGCATTCAGATATGTACATGCAAACCACCTGTTCGATGAAAAACAGAAGTTCTGGTGATCGCAGTTATAAGATGAACTGCCAATCAATTTTGGTCTCTATCTGTGAGTACACCCTTTGTGATGCACATCAGATTGGACCTCAAAGGAAGTTGAAAATATTTGATCCTGATTATAATGGGACTGAACATATGTGGAATCCAGTCTACTGTCTACTATCTATTGTCTGATAAATAAATAATTATTGAAATTTTATGAATTTGGTTTAGAATATTGAGCAGAATAACTAACTTTATTCTGTGTCGGATATTTCTCTCTATTTTTTCTCTCCTCATGCCCAGTCTTTTCCTCTGCTATCCTCTATCTCCTTTTCAGAATGCGCCTCACTTTATAGTATGATTATAAAAAGTTCCTATCATTATGGCAGTGTTATACTTGCTTCTGGAATCTATGTCTTCTATTAACTTTATGTTGCCAATCGAATCTCATGTACTACTAGTGCTCCTTTTGGAAATTGTGTCAACGTCTAACTAGCAAGCTTCATGAATGAAGCTTTGCAGCGGAGGTTTTTCATGGCCTGCAGGAGCAAGTAGTTACCACAGCTTCTCGGAGCCATAAATTGATGCTTCGTGCTCAAAATATTGAAGCTGCTCTTCCTCCACTGGAAAAGGCCATATTGACACAAACAAGCCACATACATTTTGCTTACACAGCCGGTACATATCATATGAGTTATAACCGCATTTGCCTGATTTCGATTTGGCATAACTTCTCTTTTAGACAATGGTCTTAAACTTATTTCGGAATTTTATATATTGCAGAAAGTTGTGTTTCCTTTCCAGGTGATATTTTTATGTGTTGTTGGGGATAATAAGAGTTAAGTAGTTAATTTTTTGTTGTTACTAGTTAGTTAGCTGCTTGACTGTTGCTTTCAGGTACCGTGCGTTAGATTTTAGATCAACACTTGTTAGTAATTTTTGGTTTTGTTGTTATGGAAGCCAAAAGGCATATAACAACTGTGCAAGAAGCCCAAACTCAAACTGTGAAAGTTTTGCCTCTGAAGCATGCTATATCACTAAGAGTACCATTTGAGCCTCTTCGAATTACAATTTGGCTCGTTCAGCACATATTTGTGCATTCAAGTGGCAGTAGAATAACTTCACATTGTTTCTGTTAACTAACTTTAAGTATAGGTCGCCCATTCTAGCATATGGGCTATTATATTCTTCATTTTATTCTTTGAATTCTCCTTCTTCTTCTTCTTTGGTTTTTTGGGCCAAGTATATTCTTTGGAAATTCAGTGTGCCTTTTGATAAACATTTTAATATCAAGAATCTAGATAATATGGGAGAACTTAATGAGAGCATTTGCCCTTTCAGGTTGTGAATGGCACAGTCGTGCAAAACCTGAACAAAATCATTTCATTTACAATGACTTGCCACAATTTATTGTGGATTCATATGAAGAATGCCGGGATCCTCCACAACTGCACTTGCTTGATAAGTACGTCACATGTTCATTTGACTTCTCTGTCCTCTCATTTTTGGTTTGAACACGGTTAGTATGGTTTAATAGTACATCTTGAATTAGTTTCTGCATAGTAATGTCAAACAACTATACTAATTTTTTTTCCTGTTCATTTAGTCATTTTCCTGAAACTTGCTTTGTCCTGTTTTTCTCCTTTACTCCCCCACCGGGTGTTAGAAGGTGGTAACTACTGTTAACAAAGTCAAGTAAACCATCTAAAATTTAGTTCAATTTCTAGCTGATGAACTAATTCCTTGATATCATTCAGATTCGATACTGGTGGCCCAGGATCTTGTTTAAGAAGATATTCAGATCCAACTTTCTTCAAGAGAGCACCAGCAGATTCAGATGAAGCACGCAGCGAGAAAACTGAAAGATCTAGGAAAACTAGTAGAAGCAAGGTACTTTACTGTTTGGAGCATTCTTGTTGTACTTCATCCAAACTAGAGGCAGGCCTCTGCAAAATGCACGGAGCGAAATATATCTAATCAAATTCAAAATATATTCATGAGCCATGGTTTCTAATAGGATTATTAGATATATAGATACTCTTCAACCAATGTCTTGGTAATTATGGGAAATATGTTGGACAGAAGAAAAGGCCATCACGAAGAAATGGAGAAACTCTGCAGGGTGAACAAATGCATAGCAAACGTGGCAGGTAAAACATTGTTTCATGGATTGCAAAGATATATGTGTCATGTTAGTAATTCTTAATTATCAATCACATGATGATGTATGATTCATAGAATGCGATTTGCTTTGCATGTCCATAGGCAAACTTCTTCCTCACAAACAACTGACGTGGTGCTGGAATCAGATCTGGAGGATCATTCTTATTCTGTTGATCCAGGAGCTGATGTTGGACAGAGGAAAAGTTTATTGCAAAGAAATGGAGAAACTCCGCAGGGTGAACAAATGCATAGCAGTGACAGCAGGTACAACATCCTTTCATGGATTGCGCACGTATATATGTCATGTCACTAATTCTTAATAATCAATCACACGATGATGATGCATGATTCACAGAATGCAATTTGCTTCGAATGCCAACAGGCGAACTTCTTCCTCACAAACAACTGATGTGGTGCTGGAACCAGATCTGGAGGATCATTCCTTTTCTATTGATCCAAGAGCTGATGTTGGACAAAGGAAAAGTTTATTGCGAAGAATGGACAAACCCTGCAGGGTGAACAAATGCATAGCAGTGACAGCAGGTACAACATCCTTTCATGGATTGCGCACGTATACATGTCATGTTACTAATTCTTAATAATCAATCACATGATGATGATGCATGATTCACAGAATGCAATTTGCTTTGAATGTCAACAGGCGAACTTCTTCCTCACAAACAACTGATGTGGTGCTGGAACCAGATCCGGAGGATCATTCCTTTTCTATTGATCCAAGAGCTGATGTTGGACAGAGGAAAAGTTTATTGCGAAGAAATGGAGAAACTCCGCAGGGTGAACAAATGCATAGCAGTGACAGCAGGTACAAATCCTTTCATGGATTGTGCACGTATATATGTCATGTCACTAATTCTTAATAATCAATCACATGATGATGATGCATGATTCACAGAATGCAATTTGCTTCGAATGTCAACAGGCGAACTTCTTCCTCACAAACAACTGATGTGGTGCTGGAACCAGATCTGGAGGATCATTCCTTTTCTATTGATCCAAGAGCTGATGTTGGACAGAGGAAAAGTTTATTGCGAAGAAATGGACAAACCCTGCAGGATGAACAAATGCATAGCAATGACAGCAGGTACAACATCCTTTCATGGATTGCGCACGTATACATGTCATGTCACTAATTCTTAATAATCAATCACATGATGATGGTGTATGATTCACAGAATGCAATTTGCTTCGAATGTCAACAGGCGAACTTCTTCCTCCCAAACAACTGATGTGGTGCTGGAACCAGATCTGGAGGATCATTCTTTTTCTATTGATCCAAGAGCTGATGTTGGACAAAGGAAAAGTTTATTGCGAAGAGATGGACAAACCCTGCAGGATGAACAGATGCATAGCAATGACAGCAGGTACAACATCCTTTCATGGATTGCAGATATATATTGTATATGTCATGTTACTTATTCTCAGCCAATCACATGAAGATGATGTATGATTCACTGAATGCAATTTGCTTCGCATGTCAACAGGCAAACTTCTTCCTCTCAAACAACTGACGTGGTGCTGGAACCAGATCTGGAGGATCTTTCTTATTCTGTTGATCCAAGAGCTGATGTTGGACTGAGGAAAAGTTTGTCACGAAGAAATGGAGAAACTCTGCAGTGTGAACAAATGCATAGCAGCGACAGCAGGTACAACATCCTTTCATGGAGTTCAGATATATATATCATATATATGTCATGTTACTAATTCTTAATAATCAATCACATGATGATGATGTATGATTGACTGAATGCAATTTGCTTTGCATGTCAACAGGCGAACTTTTTTCTCTCAGACAACTGATGTGGTGCTGGAACCAGATCTGGAGGATCGTTCTTATTCTGTTGATCCAAGAGCTGATGCTGGAGAGAGGAAAAGTTTGTCACGAAGAAATGGAGAAACTCTGCAGGGTGAACAAATGCATAACAATGACAGCAGGTACAACATCCTTTCATGGATTGCAGATATATACATCTATGTCATGTTACTAATTCTTAATAATCAATCACGTGATGATGATGCATGATTCACAGAGTGCAGTTTCCTTCACATGTTGACGGGCAAGCTTCTTCCTCGCAAACAGCTGACATGGAGCTGGAATCAGATCCGGAGGATCATTCTTATTCTGTTGATTCAAGGGCTGATGCTGGCTACATTGAATGTGGTTTTCAGCGATGTAATTCTGTGCAATTTGATGAGCAGGAATGCAAGGAATCACCCTCTTCTATGTTGACACAGAAAACTGATGCTTTTCAGTCTCCATCTTCTACTATAGATTATAGTTTTTCCCAAGGTTCATTCGACAAGCAAATTGCCTCTACTTCTGCTGGTCTTACATGGGATGAAAAGGAAGAGATAGTGGGTTCTGAAAGTCAGTGGTACGATAGAGATGAAATTCCAGAGGTCCTTGATGAAATACAGGACCTACATATGCATGAAGATAAACCTGTTGCCGCAGAAAATAGTGATCAAAGTGTTTCCTTATATGGAGAGGAAAGAAACCTAAAACCACTCTCCAGCAGGGTCCAAACAGATGAAACTGATAGCGAACCTGATAATTACTTGGATGCTCTTAACACCATCGAATCGGAATCTGAAAATGATCTTGATTGCGAAACAAAACAAGAGGCAGAGGAGTTCATGTCTCATCTGTCTTCTGAGGTCATGGAAAATGAAGTGGGAGCTGTTTCTACTGTGCTAGACCATGATTTTTACAATGTCTTTGCTCATACTATGTCCAATGTTTCATTGAACAAAGAAAGAGGTTTTGATTTCCCTGAAACCCTGCAAGAAATTCCTCCTCACATATCAGAGAGACATTTAAGTAGTTTAAGAGATCCAGTTCAATCAGATTTTCCTGAAAGGACTAAGATTTTACTTGCTCCTTGTGACTCTGGGAGCCCCATCCATGAACCAGTTCCTGACACATGTGGAAATGCTGTTTTGGACTGCTCTGCGGGCCCAAATCCTTTGGATGCTACCTGTTCTCTTGATGACCCAGTGTCAACATCCACTGAAACTGTTCCATCAAATGCTCCTGTAAGCCTAGAAAGTAAAATGACTTTAGTTGATTCTCATGTCTCTCCCACCCATGAACAGGAGCCTGAGCAACCTGCAAATTATGTTTTGGACTGCTCCGCAGGCCCCAATTTCTTAGATGATGTTCATATTCTCGATGATGCAGTGTCAGTGTCCATTGAGCCTGTTCAATCAAATGTTATCGTTAACAGAGAGAGGACTGAGAGTTTAAGTGATGCCTCTGAGTATCCTATCGGTGAAGAGGTGCCTCATATCTGTGGAAATTCTGTTTTTGACGATGCTCATAATGACTCACTGTCAGCATCCAGTGAGAATGTTCAACCAGATGGTTTTGTTAATTCAGAAACGATCAAGAATTCAGCTGATTCTCTTGCCCCTCAAGGTACCATCTATGAACAGGTATCTCACGTATGCAGAAACTCTGTTTTAGATTGCTCTGTAGGCACCAATCCCTTGGGGGATTACCCCACACTTAATGATTCTGTATCAGCATCCGTTGAAATTGATCCATCAGGTGATCCTGTTAACTTTGAAAGGACCATGAATTTAGCTGACTCTCATGGTTCTGTGAGTACCATCCATGAACAGTTGCCTCACATTGAGGGAAATTCTGTTTCGAACCACTTGGGAGGCACCAATCCCTTGGGAGATGATCATACTCGTCATGATATAGTGTCAGCATCCATTGAAACTCATATATCATCTGGTTCTAAAAATTCTGATTTACCAGACAAAGAAGCAGATAGCGTTGACAGTAATGTTTACAAAAGTAAAGAGACTCCTTCAGAGCCTGCTAGTGATCCTTCAATTGGGTTATGGACTAATGGTGGATTATTGGGACTTGAGCCATCAAAACCACCTGATTTTATCACGCCGAGTTCTGTAAATCATGGGCTCATGACTTCAACAAATGATACAGATGGTGTTTCGAGTCATAATTCAATGTCAAAGAGCGATGAATATAGAGAGGAAGAAGATTTGTCAAAGGTTGCTGAACTAAATCAAAAAAAGGAACCAAGTTCTAGATGCTTAGTATCACAGTGTGATGATCAAGCTTCTTGTGTCTCTGGAAAGACATCTAACTGTCATTGGCAGAGCTGTAGACATGGTCAAGATAATGAAGATTTTGATAAAAACAGGATATCCACCCATGGAACCGCTGTCCCAGTTACCCACACAGGTTGTACTGAACCTATTAAGGGAAGTGGGCTAAATTCACCTCTGCTGTTTGGGCTTGGTCATAAATTACTTATAAATAGCTTTTATCGGAACGTTTCATTTGATGAAAAATCTGGACCTGATAATTCTGTGAAAACTGGCTTATTGGAGCAGAGTGGACAAAATAGCACTGTACAGCAGTCACTTCCTGAGACAACCTTCAAAGAGAAAGTTAGTTATGATTATCCTATCTGTTCACCACCTCCTTCTCCTCCACTTGAACATATGAAAATATCCTTCTGTCCTGTTGATGGGTTTGAGACCTTCAAACTAAAACTGAAATTTCCTGATGCGAGTAATCATGGCGAGAGTACAAGGGACACGTTTCCTTCATTCCGGTTAGTCCCAGAGCATTCCATTTTTGTGCATGAGTCGGGCTTCAATTCAGATGATGACGATACTTTTTGTAGATCAACTCCTTTTGTGTCAGATGATTGTCTTAGTCCTCACTCTGACTATAATTCCGATCAGTGGGAGTCTGATGATACTCCTGATATCAGTGGCGATGGGGTATATGATTCATCTCACAGAGTATCATTAATTGAATCGAAGTCAAGTTCCCGAGAAGTCAGAGGAGTGACCAATGTTGATATCAATTTGGAAAGTGAACATATGCTTACTCAGGATAGTGCAGAACCTTCTTTATCTGGGCATTTACTTGATTTTCCTAGCTTTGATACGATGGACCCCGTTCCTGGAAAAGAATGTAACAAGCATTCTGATGGCGATAATAATCTCAAATTGCAAGGTCATTCTGAGTCTATACCACTGGCACCGCCTCTTCCTCCAAATCAGCGGTCGGACATGATGAATGAAAAACAAAATTGCATGTCAAAAGATTCTGAACAAACTAATGATCCAAATAATTCAGAATCTACATTGCAAGTCAGGCCTACCCTGGTGGAGCAAAATCCAACTGATCATGAGGATCGTGAGTTTAATGACAATATTCCGTGTAAACTGAGGAACAAGGTATTCATCTTATAGATTATTTTTTTCTCTAAAGCTTTATGTTTAGGTAACCGTGGTGGATCCGGAATTTTGCCATTATTCATGGATTCAGTCTGTAACATGAATGAATAGAAGAACGGAGATCAGGCGGGAATTGAAAAGGATATGAATGAAAAGGGAGATTTTCTTCGTCAAATCAGAAGAAAAGCATTCATTTTCGATTCTTAATGATTTAAGCAGCAGATGATGATTATTTTCATCTTCTTAACTTCGAATATTATTGTCACAGTCCTCCAATCAAAAGCATGCAGCAACAGAAAGGCCAAATGATATCACAAGTCCCTTTACAACCGACAAAGTTGCTGCAATTTTAAAAAAAGCAAATGCCATCCGCCAGGTTTTCATCAATCATCTTCTCGTTTCTTCTGCCACTCCTTTTGCTCTGAGCCTAGTGACTGTGAACTATTTGCTTATCATATGTGAGTGATAAATTTAACTGGGAAACTCTTCAGGTTATTTCAAGTGATGACGGTGAGGATGATGATAGCTGGAGTGAGTCTTGATGTGTTTGATAGTAACAACAGTTGATCTGCAAGAAAGAGTCGTCCTTGCCTTCTAACCAGAAGTTTGCGTGAGGCCTTGTACTGAATGTAAGTATGTGTGGATAAATCTTGTTTATCTGTAACTAGTTGTAGTGAAGCTGCTAGTTTTATATAGTTTTACGCCCATTTGTATTGATTCCTTCATTAGTTGATTTTACTTTGGAGGTTTTGAAATCAGGTTAAGTCAATGTATTCTTAGGTTGTTACTGTCCGAGGCAACTATTTGTACACAGAATGCAAGAAAATATGATAATTTTGAGTCATGAATCTCATTTGAAATCATTATTAGCTTTTTCAATTTTGGGACAGCCATATGATAGATATTTGCTAGTACATGTCAAATTGGAGGCTCTGGTTGGAGGCAATCCTATTCGAGGCACTGTCGGGCGCTAAATATAGACACCTCTCCCAGTAGGGATTTAAACCTTGGTTCACCACGCGGTGAGGGACTAGTCCCTTCTGTTAGATCTAACTCCTGTTGGTGTCCAAATGCTTTCTTGACAAATAATTTTTAAAACCATTTTTTTACATGATAAATAATTAATCTTGCATAGTCCAAAGCCGTTGTCACTTTTGTAGACTTTATTCCGGTCCTGTACTAGGTGGAGTATTTTTCGATTTAGTTACATGTAAGAACTGTCTTTTTCTTTTTCTTTTTTTGTTTCATATTGCTTCTCAATTTAATCTTCCATAAAAATTATATTCTATTTAGCTCCTCATACATGATTAGTTTGGAAGATTTTTAGCTTCAAGCCGCCAAGTGGAGACTTGCACTCAATAGAACATATCTTCTATTCTGTGGGTGGTGGTGGTGTTTTTAATTTGAGAAAATGATGAAACGTGAAGAGATAATGTATAAAAAAAATATTTTAATGGAGGGATATATACACATTGAAAAAAATAGAAAAATTATTAATTTATCAAGTTTAAATTATTTTGAAACTATTGAATCAGTAATTATTATTATTATTTTTAGCTCAGAGTATCAATAATTAATTTATAATATAAGATTCTTATCAATCGTTTTAATTTTACTATTAGAAATATTTCCTATTTCAAGAAAATGATTATTATATAAACTGCTGTCGCGAATTTAAATATTTTATAAAGAGTAATGGGTGCATAAATGATGATTTTAAAAAAAAAAGAAAAGAATTTTTTTTGTTTTTGTTTTTGGTCCTCCTTTTGGGGTAATCCAAGTTGGAACATCAATGAGATGGAACATAGCATAGAGTATATGGGCTGGTTTTGGCAGCTTTTACGTATTGTGTCTGCGGTCCTTTCTTTGCTTCTATTTACTTTTGTTATAACTTCTTTTCTTCTCTTTTGTTTTGCCCTTAAAAAAAAAATTCTTTAAAAATGCTATTAATCTTTTTGACCAGAAAATGCTATTAATCTACTACTCTATGATCTACATTAAAATAATAGTAGTAATTATTAATTATGCATCCCAATCTACCCCCAGTGTCTCATTGATTTTATTAACCAAACTCAAACATTTGAATTTTTTTTGAATATATATATATATGTGTGTGTATTTCTCATATTTCTATCCTTTTTTTTTTTTGTACTTTTAACATATTGTATTATATTATATTGGCATCTGCGTGTCACATGTAAATGCACAAAGGAAAATTTTGTTTAAAAACTCCAATTAAACTAAATTTATAATTTAAAAAACTTTTTATTTTATAGAGAATTCAGTATCCACTACTACCCTGTCAAATTTGAACATTGCCAAGCCAAATTCATAAGAAAAAAATATAAACATTCTAAACATTAAGTTTATTACTGTGTTCTAGCTAAAAAAAGAATTATTCTTTGTATTTTTCGAAAAAGTTAAAAAAATCACTATAAAAAATATTTAAAATAGTTTTTTTTTTGGTTAAATTCATTCAATAACATATTCCTTATAAGTTCTCAGTAACTTTGATCCTAAGAATAATTAACAAAAAAAAAAAAGGCATCACGAGTTTATTACTTTGACAGCTTCTAAAGATAGAGAGACCTCGTGAAAAATGTAAGCCGATTGTAACATTTTTTTAAAAGAAAAATTAACATCATGATAGTTCAACCATACTTATCAGTATGAATTTTCCTTTCTTAATTAATTAATTATGTCCTAATCCTTTCTTAATTAATTAATGATGTCCTAATCCTTTTTCTAAAGTAGAGCCTGATATAGCTAAGCTTCCAACTTGCTTAGACCAGCTGAGGAACGACCTCATTAAAATGGTCAATAAAATATTAAATGATTATTAAAAAAGAAATCTCTCAGCAAGATGATATAAAAGGACAAGGAAGACTTTTCTTGCTCCATTTATTTATTTGTTTATAGCCACTAAACATAAACCAGCAAGCAACATGCCGCCCCCCTCTTGTCAACTGGGCTTAATTCGTTGAATTAAACATGAATATCGTATCAATTGGTGATAAAATAATTATAAAATAAATTTTTCTCTTATATAAAATATTTTGATCTCTAGAAGTCTTCATTTAAGCCTGGATTGATAGGAATCATATTTTAATTTTGTTGGATTTTTTTTAAAAGATTCTGTGGGCAAAATTTTTTTGTATTCATACCACTTTATCTCTAACCTTCGATTCTTGACGTAAGAACTGTTTAACTAATTTAAAAAAATTAATAAAATTAAATAAATTACTTATATATAATAATATTGGCATGAGCTTTCTAAAATATTCTTATGTAATATATTAGATTATATGTAAGTTTTATGAGTTGCATAAATTAGTTTGGGATAAAATAATAGATATGATTATAAAATGAATTAAAATCTTATATTTATTATCAAAATTAACTCATTAACTAGCTCATGTATTGAGAATCGGAAGAATGTATAAGGATTAACAATTCAACACAATGGAAAGACAAATCTCCACTAAAAAAATTGTCTATATATATATATTAGCCAAAAAGTCTTTGCTTTTTAAAATGAAAGAGAGACTTTGAGGAGCAGGAGGAATAGAAAGTGCAATATTTGAAGATAATTAAAGAAAGCAAAAAAAAAAGAAAGAAAGAAAGAAATGAGGTTGCATTGTCCCCATTAAGAAGTTGAAGAGTGAGCTGGAGATGATCTCACTTTTTCAAATAATTAATTATGAATATATGAAAGTAATGATGACGATGAATGCATAAAGATTCCTTTTTAATTTGGTAAAGAAATATATTAATGGCGTATATATCAACAGATATTTGTTACATCAACAAAAGCGTTGCGTGGGAAAAGGGAACCAAACCCACAAGACCTCACATATTAATTATTATTTTTTGTTGCCGCCGGAAGCAAAAAGTTTCTCAACAAATCCATCTGAACCTGCAAAAGTTGCCTTTCGTGTCAAAAGTAAATACCAAATACCATTATCCCAACAAGCAACTTACTTTAGAATTAATCCCAAAAAAACAAAAGAATATATATAAATATATGCCTTTATTTCCAGGTAATTTGCCAAAAAGTCACGAGCCTCGACCATAGGAACTTGTTCTTTTTCTTTTGGGGAAGACATATGGGGACTTGTTCTGATCCTGGCAAAATGGATGATGGAGGGAATACCAAGGCATGTGAGAATTAGTTGTCAAAGTTTGAAAGCATGCTTTAAGGCTTATAAAAGCACAGAGTGAGAAAGAAAAAGGGTTTGTGTGGGAGGCTATTCATATCAAATTTATCATCTCAGCCAGAGCTGTTGACTTTTGTCAACGCGTAAAAACTCGGAGAAATTCTGCACACCCTTTAGGGAAAAAAAAGAAGGAAAATCTATATAAGTTTGGTAAAACTAATAACGGGGATAAATATGTCTAAATAATTATATTATTCTCTTTAGCCTCGTGTAATATTTTTCTCTGTTTTTAAGATTAATACAAACCTCTCTTAAATTTTGTTGAAATTTATTTAAAATTTAACTGCAATAACAAATGAGTGAATAGAGTTTTATTTACTTTACATAAAAAGTGAATACAAGTATTAAGATGCTGGCACATTAAATTCAGTAAATGTAAGAATACATTTTAATTCAGGAACACTGTAGTATAGGAACAAAAGTGAATGCACTGCACGCATGTGAATTTAATAGAGACGTCCAATGTCAAGATTGATGTTCCACAGACGAATGGCTTTATATATACTACAAACCTTCTTTTTTTTCTTTTTCCAAATTTGAAAAGAAAAAGATAGGTTAGGCTTTTGGATTTTTCTTTTGGCCAAATGTTAGGCTTTTGGATAGAAATATCCCATCACACATCTAACTTCTGAATTTTGATGATGGAATTTCACTAATAACAACCCCCTGGTTTTGGCCTTTTGATTCCCTTTGCAAGAGATCTACCTGGATTGGGACCCACCCTGCATGATGCTGACGTAGACTTCTGATGTGGACAAAAAAGCTTCCCACTTTCAGGCCCTTTCACTTTTTTCCCCCTTTTCCAATCCGTCACTTTATACTCCACCTACGTTATACTAGTCCTACTATTTCTTCTTTTTATTATTTCTTTCTTTCACACTCACTTTTCTTCCCCTTTTCTCTCTCTCTCTTTCTCTCTCTCCTTTTCTTTTCCCCCCTTTTTCCTTTTTTTCCTCCCCTTAAACTGTTTATGATCGCACCAACTGTTTTGCGCTTTTCACCTTTATTTTTTTCTCCTATATATATATATATATACAGAGTACTTCCGTCGTCTTCCTTCATCAACCTCAACCCAAAACCAAAAGCCTTCTTCGTTAAGAGCAGTAGTAATATAATAAAGGATAGTTTCTTCTTCTTCTTCTTTATTTTTCTGTGAGTAGAATACAGAATGGCCGATGTGAAGAACGGCCAAGATAATCATCAGGGGATAAAGCTGTTTGGGGCTACGATCACGTTGCATCGGGGAAGAAAAGGGGATCAGAAGGTGGTGGAGGAGGATCGGGCGACGCCGGAGAAGAGGCCGGACAAGATCATACCGTGTCCCAGATGTAACAGCATGGACACCAAGTTTTGTTACTTCAACAATTACAACGTTAATCAGCCGAGGCATTTCTGTAAGGGGTGCCAGAGGTACTGGACCGCCGGCGGTGCCCTCCGGAACGTGCCCATCGGGGCCGGCAGGAGGAAGGCCAAGCCACCTTGCCGTGGGCCTGCTGGATTCTCCGAGGGTTGTGGCTACGAGGAATCTGTCGACGGCGGTCACCGCCAGTTTGTTTTGGATGAGGGGTTGAATATTATGGAGGAGTGGCATGTCGCGATGGCTCAGAGTGGTTTCCGGCACCTTCTGCCAGCAAAACGGCCGAGGAACACCATTGCCGGTCAACCTTTTTAACCTCCCTCCCTCCCTCCCTTCCGTTTTTCTTTCTTTCTTGTATATGATATTATTAAAAAAAATTGAAAAAAAAATGCTCCATACAAATTTGATGGGCATGTTATGAGGTATTTTCATTTTGACAGCAATTTAAATGTAGTGTTTGCAGGTAGGTAGTATCTATGGATGCATGAGGAAAAAAATGTTGATTAGAAAGAATTTCTATATATATCAGCATAAAATTAAAAATATAATTATATAAATGGATGCATATTGGTGTATTTCAATAATTAAATATATTGATAATATTTTTTAAACAATTCTACGTAAATATATTTTCCACACAGTCACAATATAATGCTTCGATACTCTAGCATTGCACCTTATAATTAGGGTTAAAAAAAAAAAATTCTTTTGCGCGTGATCCCTGATTGAATTTGGAAACAATAATTGTTTTATTTTTTTAAGTCAGAGTATTATATGAATATGATGTTCAATTATTGAGTTGCCTGGGCATTTTTTATAGTACTGTGAAAAGTTATCAAATAATTAAAAATATTGTGGGAAGAACAAGCAATTTGACGTTGCCGCTCAACTTGATGTTTAGCAACGATCGACGACGACGTCCAAAACCTGTTGCTTATTAAATAATAAATTATTTAATTAATTGACGAGGCCACCATAAAATGAGGTGAAAAAGTCAATGAACAGATGTTTCTTCCCTCTAATGGCGTTACGTAACCGTGAATCTATAGCTAGTAATTATAGTGCCCGTTTGGATTAGCGGTGAACAACTGTGATTTTAGATAATCGTGAATTTTATAAGTGATACTGGCTATAAGTGATACTGGTTAATCGTAATTTCTGTTTGGATATTTTTTTTTATAAGTGATTTTAAGAATTGTGATTATGTTTGGTTTTTATTTATTAAAATCACTTATGGGTGTATAATTACTAAAAAGGACATGAAGTTAATAAAGTTGTTTACATTTTTATAATTATTATATTTAATAATAAATTTTATTAAATATAATTTAATAAATGACATGAATATTTAAATATTATTTTTATTTTAAAATTATTATTATTTAAAATCACTTACAAAATTTATGTGTAGTACAAATATTAAATAAAAGACCCCATATAAATAAAAGATGAACGAAAATATTAAAAAAAAATTTGATTAGCAATTTTAGTAACATAGATAAGGAAATTGAATCTTCAATCAAAATTATAACTAAGAAATAAAATTTAAAAGAAAAACAGTTTCATATTGTATGTTTTTCTTAAAAAAATTAAAAATAATTACCATTAGAATTAGAATGAGGGGTAGATTGGAGAAAATCTAGTTACTGAAAATTCATCGGGATTTTTCAAACGCATAAGCTATCTTTTGTTGCTTATCCTAAAAGTGCGGTGAGAGGTTAAAATCACGATTCATTGAGATTCTATAAAAATTATCCAAACACCCTAACCATACTTCATAAGCACTTATTTGAATTTAAACGGGTTTATTTGAGATCCCACCGCTTAACCAAACATGCTCATAATCTTAAACAGGTTTAAACCTGTTGCTAATATAAAAATGGACCCGTGTAAAACTAAACACCAGATTGCTTAATGAAGGGTTTCGCGCATTAATTATATAGTGATATAAGTTTTTCCTTGCATGATTTAGCCTTTGCTTCACACACACACACACATATATAGAGGAGATAATATAATTATTTTAAAAAACATTATAACTAAGTTTCAATTAATTAAAAGAGAGCTATGGATTCAAAACCCCATTGTCATTTTGAGGATTCTATTGGCGAATAATTTATGAGTACTTTTATATAAAAAAGAATAACAGTGAGATAGAGTTTAAGTTTAACCTTTGACGATGATGAATTTTTATATTTTAAGATCATATAAAATATTATTTTCGGTGTTAATTATAAGATCTTATTTATAGTTTATAAATAAAAATTTTACAATTAGGACAAGAGATTATATATTTAAACGTGTAAAGTTAATTAGGAGATAAAGAAGAAGGGGTTGGCGGTTGGCGGTTGGCGGTGGCAGGAGTGCGATCCACGAAAGCCACGGTGTTGAATAAATTAAAGGTGCGCACAAAATCTGGAAACGGTCAATTGCATAAATAACGAAATTACAAAGGAAGCTCACTTTGAAATTGAGATTAGATTAAATTAAATTAAATTAAAATTGGTGACATTTAATTATAACTTGTTTTGTCTTTGTTATGACAATTAAGGCCTCTAGTGAACATCCTTCTCATTGTTTCTAGAGGCCGGCCTCTTTTTTCTCGCTTTCATTTCATCCCATTCAATACAACTAGGAAATCTCGTCTTCACTTTCTAAAGCCAAAGACTAGTTTAAATTTTACTTGTACTTAGTCAAAAAAAACACACACAAAAAAAAACAAAGACTTGTAAATAATATTTTCCCTCTTTCTTATCATGAGACTTAATCATATATTTTATAATATAACATACTTTATTTAATTTTTTCCTTAATTTTTTTAATTGAGTACAAAACATCTCAAGTAATTAATAAAATTTCTCTAACTAATGGTAAATAATTAATTTTATCAATTTATGTAAAATAACACACTAGATGCTTATAATAAAAATTCGAAGGAATGCTATGTATACCAAGAGATATTCCAAGTCTTGGCACGTTACTGATAGTCATGGGTTGAAATTATTGTGTGTGTTTTATTCTTCTCATGAGGTATGGGAGGTGTTCAATTTTGGATTGGGGGTGTGGAAGGGATATTTTAATTTAGGAGTCTATTTTAATGTTTCTGCTTCTAAAAATGAGTATCGGATAAAGATGCCTACTTTTCAAAGGATGTGACATGATGGAAGGCATTGTGGATACACACGCAAGAAGAAAAAAAGAAAAAGAAAAAAAGTTTATACTTTCTGGTCTTCCCAACTTTTGTTTTCGTGTCCACACTTTTGTTGTCTCTTGTTTGTCATTTATTATCCTGATCCGTGTATATCACAGGTTCAAAATTAAGCAATTTATTTTATTTAATCTGTCGCATTATCCGCCACGATGTGTTTTCATTTTGAAGGATTCGTATTCATATCAAAACATACCCCCCCTTTTTTTTTTAAAATGGTTTGGTGGGGTTTTTTTTTTGCACTTTATTTTTTAGATTAAAATAGATAAATAAATAACAATGATCAGACTTCATATACACATTCATTCGTACGCACACGCATGTGTGTGTAAAGGAAGAAACGAATAAAGATGTTTTGTAATTAGAACAGAAACAAACAAAAGTCACGTCCCCACTTCAGAAGTCCGCTGCTGATAAAAAGATCAACGAAATGACGCATTGTATTGCAAATGTGCAATTGACTATTATTTATCCATCTTTGAACTTTTGAGACTAGTATATGGAATTTATTTAATAATTTTAAAATATGAGAATTATGTTTTTGCACCTAAAAATAAGAACCATCAACTCTTTTTTTTTTTTTTACTTTTAATATATATATATTTACTGATGTTGGGTTATTCAATGAAGGTTCATTCACACAAGTGAAAATCCCTTTTGATTGTTGATTGGCACAAAGATTAATTGCGTTCATAATCGGGATCTTGAATCCCATACATATGAAGTAAGATATGAGAATGAAGAATTAGAGCCCCCCTCTTGGAGTGATTAGTGGGGGGGAAAGAGGGATTAATAATTGAATTAAACCAAGGAGGTAATTAATCTCAGTCGAGCGGGTCGTCATCACTGAGGGGGTCGGCGGCAAGGTGAAGCTCCTGCAAAACGGCGCCGCATTCAGGAAGAGGTTGGTTGCGGAGGAAGCCGAGAGGGTTGGCCGAGCGAACCGGCGAAACGATGCCGTTGTTGCGGGTGACGCTGACCTTAGCCGCCTGAGTCCCGAAAGACGATGCATCAATCTCAGAACACTCAGGATCGCTGCTCTTCACAAGAACCACCTCGCACGATTCGTCTTCGCGATCTCCTTCAATCTCCACACTGTATCCACCCGAACCGTCTGTAACTGCCTCTTTGCTCAGCGTCACCTTCCCGCTCTCTGCTTCCTTGCATTCCAACCTCACCGTCGCTCCGGCGACGAAGCGGCTGAGGCGGGTCATGAATTGAGTCCGGCAAGTGTCGCAGTAGACGGAACCCTCCACGAAGAACTGATCGTGGCACTCGGCCAGATTCAATAGGGAGAGCAAGCAAAGGGCAGAGGCAAGGATGAGGATGGCGCCGGACTTCGCCATTGCCGCTTAGTGATTCCTTGCCTTTATTGTTTCTTTGTTTGGATGGGATTTTGATGCAGAGGGAGGGCTGACCATAACTATGCAAATTCCGGTCATTTTATACCTCAATGGCTTCGCCTAATCTTGGTTGTTCGTTATTCTTGTGCGGTTCTCCTCTTCCCCTTGTTTTCCGATCACCCATCGCCTGTATTTCACAAATGATCTCCTTTTTTTGGATTAATTATTTTCAAATCACTGTTCGCAGTAGAATAATCTATTAGCGCCTAGTGATGTTATACCAAATCAGGACAATTATAAGCGCTTGCCGCCTTATATTTTTTTCATCCGTAACTATAGAAATCGCTTTTGAGTAAGCTAACGAGAGAATTCAATTGACCTCGCCGGCAGGCGCTACTACCAACCAAAGCTATCGTATAGATTGGGCGGAGGATATTCCGGGTTCGAACATTGTCATCCTATATATTGAACAGACTAGAAGAATTGTACGAGCTTGGGCAATAACATAGGAATAGTTTGGGGGAAAAAATATTCACAGGGGCTAATCTTTATAAATTAATTATTACTTTCGATTCTTAATATAAGACCGTTTAATTTTTATTTTGATCCTAAATATAAGATTTCAATCTACTTTATCTCTAATATTTATATTTTTTTTTCAAAATAATTCTTCTAACAAAAATAATTTTAGTCAATACACTTGATTAACAAGGATATTTTAAGAAAAACAATACATATTTATGACAAATAACTAATTTAACTTCTTTCTTTAATCTCCTCAAATTAATCAACTAGCTCTTATAATTAAAACCGGAAGTAGTATTTTAATCCCTACGTTCTAAAATCAGAGGAGTGTATAATAAAATTGGATCGCCAGGAAGGAGGAACACACAGACAA